AGGCCGTTACAGTAAGTAAAACTTTATTTATATAGCACCTTTCAAGATAAAAATCACAAAGTGCTTCACAGAAGCTAAAACCTAAAAATAAAAATCAACCAAAAGCAAGTTTAAAAAGATGAGTAACAGCTGAGTAACTGCAGGCTTAATGATGTAGCAAACATCCAATCGCAGTTTCAGTTTGAATCCTGAGTTTAATTTACAAATGTAGAAGAAGTGATGTGATGTTGGACTCCACTGTGGCAGGACTCCCACAAATTAGTGGCTTCACTGTAGGACTTTGTCTTATTTTATATCCTCTGCAGTAACACTGGTATAATCACTAAAACACATTCATAAAGATCCTATGCTCTGATAAAAACACATGTTTACATTTCTGTTTTTCTATTTGTGAAAAAAAACTTGCCAACTAAGCTAAAGTGTTGTTTCATGCTGCGTACATCCTGTAAAGACACAATCGAGTTATTATTTAATGATTATTATTGATCAAGAAACGTTTAGCTATATATGTTTGCAGAGTGCAAGCCCAAATAACCCCGACTGTGTCCTGAGAGCGCTGTAATGGCGCTGCAATTTTACCTTTTTTCTTTGAGGCGCCGTGTATCTTGTTCACGGGACTCATCAACATCAAATTTACAAAACAAGTGGAAAGAAAAACACATCTATAAAATCCAGGCCATTTGGCTTTATTGTTGCATTTGGATGAAATCTCTGTTTCAATTAGCACCTTGAGATCCTTTCTGAATGTGAAGGCAATCAAACCCTCCACACGACGCCTGCCTCTGGCATGGAGGCAGTTGGTCATGCTGCACCGTGTTTTTCCTGAGTGGATACAGTCATGTTTAACTCTGTTTTTAGTAAAAAGGACGATCATATTGTTAAACAATAATTTGTCACACGAGCGCGTATAACTGTGACGTTTCCACTCTAAAATAAATGCCAGAGTTCAATTTTTCAACAATTGGTCAAGAAGAAGAAGAAGAAGAGGAGCAGAGAGACAGACAGACATTCATGAGCTTTTAGTGTTAAATGAGGGATGAAAAGACATCAGTGAGAGCGGTGCAGCTGAAAGACCTCATGTTCTGACTCCCATCTTCATCTGTCAGTTCAGAAGAGACAAAGTCAGTCACAGAAAAACATTTTCAGATCCTGTTGGAATAAAAATCTGCAAAATCTGTTTGACCTTTAAAAATCTGGAGAAAAAAAAAGCTACACCTGAGGCGTGGGGTGTCTCCACTGCATCTTTTGCCAAAATAGTGTGGAAAAAAAATACAGTGAAATGTGAGACTGGAACACCTCGGCTCAAACTGAGTGTTGCTGCACAGAGAGACAAAGCGGGTGAGCATGTCACCAATGGCAACCCTGTGGAGGAAAGCGGTCGCATGAGCACATTTTTCACTTAGTAGGAGAAGAGAGTTGTAATTGGCCGTCTTTGTTGATGGCAGATAGGA